GTTGTTCAACCAAATGACTAATAAGAGATTAAAGCACATTTCAGACCAAAATACAGAATGAAATATTGGCCAGCAGAATGGATCTGTGCTTTACTAATGAATCTATGGAAAGCAAGTCTCATTTTGTGCTGAGGATAATATTTCTCAAAATACAGAATTAAATAACAGACAGTGATAGATTAAATATTACTGTCCTTGGGAATAACTCCTCATCCTTCTTTATCTTATTAAAATGTTCAGCATGCACTTCTGAAACTCTTGCCTACATCTTTATTGTTACTGAGGCTGAGCAGTTAACTGTGACTTCTTTGTTGGAATAGACTAACTGTTTTGGATATGCCATTTTTCTGGATGTGGGTAATACAAGTACACATTTTTTAAAAAAACAAACCAAAAACAAACCAACCAACCAATTTTCCACTTCTAGTAAACTACATTGCAACATAAATTTTAATTATAGTTCTTTCCCTCCTTGTCTGCTAAGTAGTAATTGAGAATAGTTGAGGGAAAGTTCATCTTCAGATACTGAAACTCTGAAGCAAAATACTGTAAACGAATAACCATATTCTGCTTGAAATTGTAGCTACCTCACAGCCCTTCCATTTAAAGAAGGGTGAGAAAATGAATTTTTCTGACCAAGTATTAGGTTAGTATCTAGCTAAACAGTTCTGCTAGCACAATACTTATTACTGCACAATGAAATTTCCTCTCCCTCTCCTCTCCTCATGCACCCCCTAAATCTGTTCTGAGTTTTCTCCCAACCCTCTGTTTGAGAGGAAGTGCAGGAGCAGAGGAGGGGAGGGGAGGGGAGGGGAGGGAAAGTTCCATTGTGCAGTCAAGAGTGATTTCACTAGCAGAACTGTTTAGTTGGATACTATCCTAAGATAAGGGGCGCGGGTGGGGCTGTGGTTAAACCACAGAGCCTAGGGCTTGCCAATCAGAAGGTCGGCGGTTCGAATCCCCGCGACGGGGTGAGCTCCCATTGCTCGGTCCCTGCTCCTGCCAACCTAGCAGTTCGAAAGCATGAAGTGCAAGTAGATAAACAGGTACCGCTCCGGCGGGAAGGTAAACGGCGTTTCCGTGTGCTGCTCTGGTTCGCCAGAAGCAGCTTAGTCATGCTGGCCACATAACTCGGAAGCTGTACGCCGGCTCCCTTGGCCAGTAAAGCGAGATGAGTCGTCCACGACTGGACCTAATGGTCAGGGGTCCCTGTACCTTTATCCTAAGATAACACCCTTATTTTTTTTAGCTCTTGTATGCACTTCTTTCCTGCACCTAAACTCTTTTAAATGATGCCTTCTTTACTGCACTTTTTCTACCAGATTATTGGGGCTGTGCAGTGAGGATCCAAGGCAGGACCAACATCTGGAGTGTGCATTGTCCAACCCAGGCTCCCTCTAGTCAGGTGGTGGAGATAGGTGCTGGAGAACCTTGACTGACATAGGCATGATAAAAGGCCAAGCTGCTAGTATTTAAACCTGGTTTGTTAAATCTGGAGTCCTTATATGGCTTGGCTTGCCATTCACAGGACAGTATGTTGCACATCCCCATTATTTTCTGTGCCTGAAGAGGGCTCTGTTCTGGGATCCAGCAGTACATGGAACAATGTCAGCTCCCTAGGCTTAGTACCTGCCTTAATAGATTACCTGCTGTGAATGAAGAAGATCCCAAGTTGAATCCCTAGCATCTTCAATGAAATAAAGTATTTTGTATTTACAGTGGTTCCTCGGGTTAAGAACTTAATTTGTTCCAGAGGTCCATTCTTAACCTGAAACAGTTCTTAACCTGAGACGCACTTTCGCTAATGGGGCCTCCTGCTGCCACTGTGCTGCTGGCGCACGATTTCCATTCTTATCCTGGGGCAAAGTTCTTAACCTGGAGCAACCACTTCCTGGTTAGCGGAGTTTGTAACCCAAAGCGTCTGTAACCCGAGGTACCACTGTATCAGGTGACATGTATAACTTCCTCTGGAGGCCCTGGAGGACTATTGGACAATACTGGGATAGGTTTACTGAGAAGTCCTACTATGTTCAATGGGGCTTATTCCCAGGAGAATATGCTTAGGAATTAAACTTTAGCTGTAAAACACAATTTAAATTTGCACCTCAGTCATGGCCATGCTGCATGTTGTAGCTTCAGCTTCCTGTCTTCAAAATGGGTGTAATAATAATGCCCTATGGTGAGCATGAATTAAGATTGCAACAGTATTTTGCATATTAAAGAACTACTATAAAGGAGTGTAATTAAGGATAAATTTGAATGTGATATTGAAGAAATGCCTTTACACGTTCAAGGAGGGAGGAAAGAGAAGAAGGAAAATGGCTTTAGCATTTTTTTTTTCTGGGAATGAAAAACTTGGAACTGAAATGTAAAACTTAAAAACAGGATTAAAGCCCCAGGGCTCCACCTTTTTGAACTTTCAGCACAGAACTTTTTGGACTAGCTGACATCCTGCAAAGTTTAAAAAGATTTAGAACTGTTTGTGGGCTTCTCTTTCCAGGGACTAGTACACCAAGTCCTTATGAATCAAATTTAAAATTAAAAGCCCAACTAAGGAAAATGGGAGGCAGAGAGAAGACTATTTTGTATATGTAAAAGATTTGCCACATGTAGTTGAGAAACAACACACTTTTATGCTGCTTGGGAAAGTGCAAATATGATACAAGGCATTTCTTGAGAGTTCTGGGTAAGCCTCTTACTTTGCTTTTTCAAAAAAGAAGAAAATAGTGTGAAAAACATACATCTCTCTGCAAGACCAGGACTAATGAAATGTACTCTACAACCATATTTGTTCAAATAAACACTTAGTTATTTGCTGTTCTGCTGTGGGGAGAGCTGCTACAGAACAACAGGCAAAAAGTTTTCTGCTCTTTCTACTGTATCTTTGCCATTTTACTTTTTTAATTCCCATGTGTAGTTTGATCTGCGGTGGTTAATACATGCCACTTTTAATGTGTGTATAACTTCTACCTCTGCACAGGGCTCTGTTTTAATACTGTGTGTTTTACTATCTGTGGACTAAATAAATAAAAAAATTTAAAAAATGTCCAGTAGCACCTTAGAGACCAACTAAGTTTGTTCTGGGTATAAGCTTTCATGTGCATGCATACTTCTTCAAATACACTGAAACAGAAGTCACCAAACCCTTATATATAGTGGGAGGGTGGGGTGGGGTTTTTCTCAGAAGGGTAGTAGGAGATGGGTGATGACTCAATGGGTATCGTAAACCTGTTGACAACTGTTACAACTGCAATTAGTCTAGGAGATGTTGCAAATCTCTGATGATGTGTTGAACTGTTTTAACTTGGGAGCTGAAGAAGTGCGCATGCACATGAAAGCTTATACCCAGAACAAACTTTGTTGGTCTCTAAGGTGCTACTGGACAATTTTTTAATTAATTTCGACTGCGTCAGACCAACACGGCTACCTACCTGGATCTATGTGTGGACTGGCTATTTTGTCTTTCAGACCAAATTAAAAAATGTTAAAACATTTGCTTTCAATCCCGGCCCTACAAGCTCGATGTGACAAAAATTCTAGAACCAGGCATTAAAGGCCATTGACTATGATCCTAACATCTACTTTAATTTGCCAGACTATACAAAAACCTCCAGAAGGGAGCTTTTGCTTCAACAGTGGTACCTCGGGTTACAGACGCTTCGGGTTACAGACGCTTAAGGTTACAGACTCCGCTAACCCAGAAATATTACCCCAGGTTAAGAACTTTGCTTCAGGATGAGAACAGAAATCAAGCGGCGGGGGCAGGAGGCCCCATTAGCCCCATTAGTGGTACCTCAGGTTAAGAACAGTTTCAGGTTAAGAACGGACCTCCAGAACGAATTAAGTTCTTAACCAGAGGTACCACTGTACTTTGAGGAGGCATTCAGTTTGAGCTGAATACGAAGCATGACAGTCACTAAATACGAAGCATGACAGTCAATACAATATATTGCATGCATATTTTTTTTCTAAACCAGAGATAGGGAACCTGTGCCCTCCAGAAGTTCCTGGATTACAATTCCCATCACTCCTAACCACTGGCCACTCTCACTGGGGCTGCTGGCCGCTAGCATATACAGTAACATCATTTGGTGGGCCACAAGGTATCAACCAGTGAGCCAAATAAACCTAGGTCACAGTCTTTCCCTTTGTGAGTAAGAGGGGTCCAGGCTATTCTTTATTCAAGAAGAGTTACAAGCTTTAGAAATGGTCTCAGCTATTGGGAGATCTATGTTGACATAGCTTGAAAATCCTTACATAATGTAACAGAAAACCACATAACAGTTTGCATTGCATTGTTCTGTAACTCTCACCCTTGCTTTCTTGCTCCGTTCTACTTTCCTGAAAAAGGGACTACACAAATATAACATAAGGCACTGGGGAAATGAAGCACTACAGAGCAATGGGAGGTTTCAGATAGTTGTCAGATCAGCATATTCCCCTTTGCAAACTTTTGCTAGCTTGCAGAATCAGAAAGGAGAGAGGCCACACACAAAAAAGGAAAAGGGAAAAAAAAAGAACTGTGCATTTATCTCATAATTTTCAGCACTACTTAATTTGACATTTACAATCTTATTGTTTCTACTTTCTTTGAAGAAGTAACTGTTTCTTCAGTTGTGGTCTACAAAATGAGCTACGGACTATGCAAGCTATAATTTCTCACACTCTGAACAATTTAAGTAGGGCATTCAAATAACAAAAGAATCAGTACCTCTAGTAATTCATGTAGCCTCCCACGAATTAAACAAGCAACACTAGCAGCCATCTTAAATACCAAAGATCAATTTTACAGAGAGAGCATACCTGGCCCAGTTGGTAGCATGCCCAACATGGATGTTAACCAGCGCTAAAATCTTGGTGGAGCCACTGGCTTCTTGGGGGCTTTAGCCTTTGTTTCCAAATTGTAAAATGGATATATGGGAAGTGGTTTAAAGAGCATGGGAAGGTCACCTTCCACCTCATCTTTTACACTGCATGTGATTATTCCTAAGGACTCTCTCTCTGTGTATATTGTATGTGTATATATATATATATATATATATATATATATATATATACATATACACACACACACACACACACACACACACACATACACCAGTCAATTCATGGGATAGCTCAGTTGGTAGAACGTGAGAGTCAAGGGTTTAGCCCCACATTATTGGGCAAAGAGATTCCTGCATTGCAGAGGGTTGGACTAAATGACATTCATGGTCCTAACTCTACAATTCTACGATTCAGCTCAAAGACTCTTGTGGTACCATAAAAGCTTATTGTGGCATGAATTTTCATAGGCAGCTACCTGCTTTTTATCATATGCATTAAGGGGATTGTCTCATTAAAAAAATAATAATTTTAAGTACACCCAACTGGAAGCTTCTAAATCTTGCCGTTGGTTTTACCCCTTCCTACTGATGTAGGAATCTTGACTATTGTATTCAGGTTTTAGCTGGATCTACTGTATATGAAAAAAGCCTCAAAGAAGAAAAGTGAAGGCAAACATGAGGATTCTCTCATCAGGTTTTTTAAAAATAAAAATAAAGAAAGAAGTAGTTGTTGGATTCTATATTTCTTATTGGAGTGTCATAGAAGAGGAAAGTGGAATTCTAGAGTTCATTTTTTAAAAAGCAACACAAAGGCTCAAAGTCAGTATCCCTCTCTTATCAATTATGTGTCATGTTTCAGTCCTTGACTAGCTTGTTTATTTAAATAGCACTGAAAATGGTATAGCATTTCCCTTCTACATCACCAGTCCGCAGGCAATTGGCTGGTGTGCACACCACACATTTAAAGCACCCTCCTCCCCCAAACACCCAATCCTAGGATCTGTAGTTTGTTAAGGGTGCTGGGAATTGTAGCTCTGTGAGGGATAAACTATTGATTCTTTGGGGAAGAGGTGCTTTAAATGCTATATTTGCAGCCTTTGATGCATCTAAGAATTGAATTCTGTTCAGCAATGAAAATCAGCCAAGCTGAAAGCTTTCCTCTGCATTGTGCATAGTCAAAAAGTCCTTAATAGAGGCTGATTTATATTTATTTATTTAAACATATTTTAGACAACTTTGTATTTAAAAACACCACCACCAAATTGGAATATAACATGAAATGATAAAATTACAATATAACAAAGATAATAAATCAATATAAAACAATGAAACAGTGATGCATACATAACAGAAGATGACAGCGTGTGTGAAGGCAACAAAGACTAGGGAACACAATAAAAATATTATTTACTGAGGGAATAGCCCAGAAAATAAGTATTGGTAAACTCTGGGGGCATGCATTTCACAGGTATTAATTGCCCAGATCCAGCTAAAGTTAGATATGAGTATTAGTTTGAAACTTCTGTGTTGACTCCAGACTTGCAGCACTATCCTAACTATGTCTACTCAGAAGTAAGTCCTATTGAGCAAGATTAAGGCTGTAGTCTTAAATAGTACATAGCAGACTCACTGAAATCAATGGGATTTAAGCAAGCCATGTATCTGAAGAAGTGTGCATGCACATGAAAGCTTATACCCAGAGCAAACTTAGTTGGTCTCTAAGGTGGTACCGGACAATTTTTTAATTTGAACAAGAGTCAGTCTTCCTTTTTATCTTGAGATTTTAACATGAAACTCAAAGCCCTTTTACAGTTACAGTATATCAAGAAAATAGCACTGTCAAACACCACATAGAAATGCAATAGAACTGCAAGTAAAACATATATGAATAATTCCATTGCCTGCTGACAAATTAACCTCTTAGCATTACTCAGCATTATTTGGCTGCAATCCTGCACACACTTAGGCTAATTAAATCAGTAAGTCAGTAAGATTTAAGCTGCCGATGTACAAGGCAAAAGTATCTTATTCTATGCTCCCTATGAAGGATTTTAAATGCAGGCAGTGGCTATTTCTGCATGGCTTCTACCATGTGGGAAAATATAGATGGAAGGATCAGTCAGCAGTCCACCTCAAGCAGCTTAGGGTTTGAATACTGAAACAAAGGGAAAGGATGCAATTTAAAAAACAAAAACAAAAACACAGAAGTTTGTGGGTTGGCAAGAGGGCCATTCAAAGGACCCTCCCCCCAAAAAAGATATACTGTAGTCCAGAAGTAGGACCCACAACATGTCGCAGTGTGGAGGGCTCCTGCTGAGGGTCCCAGCCAACACACCACCATTCCTTCCAGAATGATCCATTTCCTTCTCCCTCACATCCATAAGAGCCAATTCCTAAGGACTTAGGTCTCTTTGGCTCCCCCAATAAAATATTTGAGGGGGTTGGGCTCCCCCAAGTTGATGAGCATTGCCATTCAAATGGTGTATGTGCACCATGTCATGTGATTGATTATGTGGGGCGGGGCTCCCCCCCGAATTTTATTCCAGTTAGCACCCCTGCTCACATCTGTGCAGCCAGATAGATGAGAAGCTAGAAAGCAACAGCATCAATCTGCCTTGAGAAAAAGCCGGACTTTTGCTTGATGGTGAAAGGCTGTCAAAGATGCAGCTAGATGCACTTCAGTGGGCAAAGCATTCCAAAGCTCCATCATAATGCATAAGGCATGACTGCATGCTCCTACAGTTCTAACATCAGCAAAAGACAAAACTAAGAGCCAAGTTTTCTCTACTTGAAAATAACTCTGCAGATGCCTGCCTGTATGGTATGCCCAAATCCACTGCAAGACAAGCCAGTAAGAACTTCACTGCTCACCAATCTCCAGTAGTTTATGCTTAAACTAAATGTAGAAGATACATATTTGTGGTCGCCTGAGGCTGAAGAAAATAAATAATGAATTCATAGCAACTGGGCTCGAGGTATCATGGTAATATCAGTAGTAAGATAGCCCAAGCCTTTGGGCTTCAGAAATAGGCTTCAGATGCAGGTATTGGAACAGGCTCAGCCATGTCCACCAACCAACAAAGCTTTGATCACTATCCTTTAAACTCAGCAAACTCCCATACCCAATCAGGCAGTGAAGAGGTTGAGCAGCAGGCAGTCCCAGAAGGTTCTTACTATGAGCTAGTCTACAGGAAACTCCTTCACTTGTAGCAGTTGGGGAAATATTTGGCCCTCCAGATGATGCTGAACTGCAACTCCTGGAGGACCAAAGGTTCGCCACACCTAACTGAATAGCATCAGCTGCCAATCACACATTTGTAAAGCTCTGCCCAGTCCATAACTATAACAGCAAAGGAATAACCATCCCCCATCTCTCACCTGTGTAAGAAACCTGCCAGTCCTTGTTGGTACTGAACACTTGGCTCTTCAACCTACCTGAAAACACAACTCCAGGTTGCTCAGTTTATCAATATGTAATTTGCAGTGATGTTGTTATTTTAACATCCTAGACAGAGAGCGTACGCTGATACTTATAAAGCGTTGCAGCCACAGCTTCATAGTTAAATCTGCATGATATTTATCTTTATTTCTTGGGAACTAAATAAATGACAAGAGATTGGATCCATTCCTTCTGCTTTACTTCACAGTAGGGATGGTTGCATCAATTTGTATTGCATAAATGCCAGATTTCCAATGTCTTTGCCTCACCTTTTAGGAACATGCACGTACCACAGTTTTAGCTCTGTTATTTCCTCTCCCTGGGGGTGAGACGTTATTAATATTAAGCCTTTCCTGATTTCCTGCAGCCTCCACTCTGATCTCTCCAGGTCACTTCACGGTTGAATAAATTTTAGTCATCATTTCTATCAATATACAGAGTACATTTGCAAAGAAATTAACAAAGACCAAAACAAGGACTTCCAGCTATAAACAGCAGTTCAAACCCACTTTTATCACAATCATCAGATGCCCCACAGGTTTCCTCCAATGGCCAGAGGCTATCAGCTAAAGTGGCCTACATTGGGTTGACCATCAATTGTGCCGTATATCTTATAGACTTTGCTCACTCATCATCCCCAAGTGGAACTCAAATTAAATTATAAAGAAGCTAGTACATACTTGGGCAGGCAAAAACAGTGGATATCCTAGCCATAATTTCATAATATTAAAAGCAAGCTGTAAGCTTCCAGAACAGACTAGTACTAGTGGGTTGTAAAGATCTATCTTTTCTAATGCATACCTCAAGCTAAGAAATTGTGTAAAATAACTAGCTTAATAATTAAGGGTAACTTGGTACTTTGGCAGTCCCAAAATATACAAAAATAATTTTTTCCTGATTTAGCCTATCTAACCAAATCATTCAAGAAATCCTGACCAGTATATTTAAGAACAAAAAATAATGTTTTAAGAATGTCACTTGTGACTAAAGCATGCACTATAAGGAACAACAAAGTCCTAGAAAGTTGTCTTAAACAGCATACTACCATTATTGAGTTTTGATAGTTATGTGTAAAGGTGGTATCAATGGCAGGGTTAGAAATGCAATTTGAATAAAATTTAATAATTATCTTTAAGTTGCAGATTGTCAGCTTGATGGACTAAAGAAAAGAAATCTTAACATAATATTTAACCTGAAGGATTGCTCCACTTATCTTGCATTGGAAAGTCTTATAAGTCTGTCTTTAAAGTTACTTGCTGCCCCTCATTGTCATCATTCTTCCTCTCTGGTTTGATTTCTATGGCTTTCAATTGCAGTAAGGGGTTGTGGTTATGGTCTGCGCAGAGATATACTTTGACATGGGGGAAATGGTATTTGCAATTCAAACTACAGTATTGGTTCTTGAAGTCTAAGATGAGCCTCTCTTAGGAGGTGTAACTAGGACAGGCAGAATGTCTTCCCTGATCCCTCCTATTTTTCACTTTGGTTGGATTAGAAGTTTGAGTGCCAGTGCACATCCAAGCCCTTCTCAGTCACAAAGCAAAGCCATACAGAGCAACTCTCTTGTTTTGTGCCAGGTTCTTCTTCATGCACTGATGAAGTTAGGTATCTTAGTTATCAGGGGCAGGATTTCCCCCCACAATATTTTTTCCCCTACTTCTGCAAACTTTAGGGTTCCTGTATGCTTGCAGATGACTCCCTCTTATTACTTAGTACACTATCCCTGTTTGAGCTATACAACTTGCTATTACTACATATGCAAAATGTTGCAGTGTGGAATGTGGCTGTTCAGGATTCCAGTCACTCCAATCTACAC